CAGGAGCGGGACTGCAGTGCCCCCTGTCCCTGGAGGAGTGGGACTACAGTGCCCAGTGTCACTGGATTACTGGGACTGCAGTGCCCCCTGTAGCTTGGAGGCATGCTGGCATTCTGCAGGGGTCATACAGCACGGAATCAGACCCTTCGGTCCATCACGTCCCTGCCAACCAGACATCCCAATCTGACCTAGTCCCATATGCCCCCCATTTGGGCCATAATCCCTCTAAAGTAAGGAGTAGCCAGAGTCTGGCACTGCGGTGGGGGCATGATCAATTGAGGCATTTATGAAGAGGGGGGCATTGGCCAGGTTATTGGGTAGAAGTAGCACGCAGCGATTTGGGTAAATGGGCAAAAGATTGGTGATGATGGCCGTTTGAAGAGCGAATGCTGACACGATGGGCTGAATGGCCTGCACCACCACCACCATCCTGTAAGGGCTTGGGAGCATCTCACCGAAATTGCTCCGGGTGCAAATGGGACTGCTGAGCTTCGAGGAGTAAGCTTCAAGGTGATTCGGACGAGTTGAGAGAGCGGGGGCAGATGCAGTCCAAGTGGCTAATACTTTGGCATGAAAGGGAGAGTCGTATTTCAGTGGGGATGGATTGGGAAGTGCGGATGCACAGAGCGATCCATGTAGACTATTCAGTGATAGTAGATTGGCAACAAGGGTCATAGAGACACACAACACAGAAACAAGTCCTTCAACCCAACTCGTCCATGCACAGGTCACCAAAGTTGAAGTTTACCTGCGTTTGGCCCCTATCCCTCTAAACCCTTCCTATCCATGTCCCCATCCAGATGCCTTTTAAATGTTGTAATTGTACAGCCCCCACCACTTCCTCTGGCAGCTCATTCCATCCACGCACCGCTCTCTGTGTGAAAAAGTTGCCCGTCAGGTCCCTTTTAGATCTTTCCCCCCCCTCTCACCTTAAACCGATGCCCTTCGGGTTTTGGAGTCCCCTACCCTGAGGAAAAGGACCTTGTATATTCACCCTATCCATGCCCCTCACGATGTGATAAATCACTATAAGGTCACCCCCTCAGCCTCCGACAGTCCAGGGTTAAAAAGTCCCAACCCTCTCCTTTATAACTCAAACCCTCCAGTCCCGGCAACATCCTGGTAATTTTATTTTTCTGTACCCTTTCTAACTTGACAACGTCTTTCACCAGAATTGGATGCAGTATTCTAACAGTGTCCTGTACAGCTGCAACATGACATCCCACCTCCTGTACTCAATGGTCAGACCGATGAAGCCAACTGTGCTAAACGCCTTCTTAACCACCTGGTCTGTCTGCGATGCCTCTTTCAAGGAACTATGTACCTGCTCCCTCCATTCAACAACACTCCCCAGGACCTTAAGGGTCCTGACCCGAAACGTCAGCTTTCCTGCTGCTGTTCTCCTCCAGCTCCACTCTGTGTTATATCTAAGTCCTGTCTTTTCCCTTAAATGCAACACCTTGCATTTATCTAAATTAAACTCTCAGCCCATTGGCCCCCCGATCAAGATTTCATTGTACTCTTAGCTGATTTTCCTCACAATCCACCACAGCACCAATTTTGGTGTCATACACAAACTTATTAACCATACCTCCTATATTCTCATCCAAATTGTCGATATAAATGGTGAGCAACAGTGAACCCAGAACCAATCCTTGCGGCACACAGCTGGCCACAGGCCTCCAGTGTGAAAAGCAACCCTCTGCCACCACCACTTTCTGTCTCCTACTATCGAACCAATTTTGTATCCAATTGGCTATTTCTCCCTGGCTCCACATTTGTCATATGAGAGGGTGGCCATGTTTGCTGTGGGAGCAGGCGGCCAGGTTCATTGTGGGGTAGAATGGCCACGACTGTTGTGAGAGATAGCGGCCTTGTTTGTTGTGGGAGAGAGTGGCCATGTTCGTTATGGGAGAGTATGCTATGTTTGCAGTGGGAGAGAGCAGCCATATTTGTTGTGGGAGAGTGTGACTATGTTTGCAGTGGGAGAGCGCGACCATAATTGTTGTGGGAGAGTATGGCTATGTTTGTAGTGGGAGAGCCCGGCCATATTTGTTGTGGGAGAGTATGGCTATGTTTGCAGCGGGAGAGAGTGGCCATATTTGTTGTGGGAGAGTATGGCTATGTTTGTAGTGGGAGAGAGTGGCCATATTTGTTGTGGGAGA